TGACTTCCAATCTGCCAATATATTATATACATACCATAGTATGTACTAGAAAATCACACACTATCTTATAATCAGAAATATATTTTGAACTTCAAAAGAAAATTATGGCAGGCATCTTCCTACTCCTGGTAATTTCTATTTCAATAGGCAAGTCCATCTAATTGAAAATTCATCTTGACCTTGCAGTCTATTTCAATATCTTATTTTATGCTTATATTTCATTTTGCAACAGGTCAGTTCCTACAGTTTAAGAAAATGTTCCTATTAGTTTAAACTGTTTTATTTTAAAGAAACACTTCACTTCTGCTATAATACCAAATTAGTGACTTGAAGTTATGCCTTCTCATGATAAAAGATTAAATTAAGAACAATCTCATGTCCTCTACCCACCCTCCTTTTCATCCCAACATGCCAGTATAAGGTCCATATCTGCAAAGTTCCTAAGAAGTCAGAAGGCTGGCAGGCTCTCTGGGTTCTAAAAACAGAACTTTCATTTGTACACTGTGTACCTTTTTCAGCTGAAAAACCAGCTACTTTTATACTAGCTTGTCCTGCCCACTGCCTCTGGTGACCAGTGGTTGATCCTGAAGCAATATCAGGGATGCAAAAAGATTGATCCTTACCATATTCAGCTTTCAGAAATCAGCTAGACTTCATGGATCAGAGGCCATAAAGGAGGCGGTGTTAAATAACCAGAATGGTCCTCCACTTGCTTATCTAATCCATTTACATCCTCTGCGATTTTACCACACACACCACAATTTCAAGCTTTTCACAAGTGTAGAAGTACTATCTGCAAGCCTGTAGTTTCCAAGATCACTTCAGAAGCCCTAAACTTGTTTCCACGTTTGCTCTATCGGTCCTTCCCCATGCAGTATCTTATCAGATTTTTCCTTTCTAGATGGCTACTGAAGGAACCTTCAGAAAAGCCTACCACACAGGAAAGTAAGATATAAGGACAGCATTGGTAAATAAAGATTCAAGGCTGTGCTTAAATTGATATAGTGAGTTACTTACAGATGAAACAGAACATTTGCATCTGGAAGGCTGGGCCAATGAGCACAACAGCATCAGAGCATTCTATGGACCTAACAGTTCTAAGTACTGTGAGTAGATTATTGCAGCTAGCCAAGACCATCACACTGTCCTTTTTTCCCCACAGCCAAGTGTTAGGACACTAGCGTACATTATAGACAGGCCCTTTATCAAAGAATAATAGTAGAGGCAGTGGTAGTAATAACAACAGAGCTTAAATAAATATATATAAAAAATTATTAAAAAGCAGCTCCTTGCATATTTTTTAAACAGTAAGTAGCCCTGAAAATCAGTTTTGCAAAAATTAGTGGCCAGAAACAACTAATTACAGATGTTCTAGTGTAAGAAGTATGTTCTGACATGTTAAAGTGAAAAGATTTAAAAGACAATATAAGCTCTCCAGAATCTGAACTTTAATTAATTTTTAGAAACTACATATGTATATAAGATGAATAAACTAATTAGGCTGCAAGACCAGAGAATATTGAATGATGCCTTGCCAGAAAAAGATTATTTCTTACAATGCATCTTTGAATGGTTCATATATTCTATCTTTAAAAGATCCACAGGGTGCCACTTCTACTGATTCCTCCCCATAGTATTAACTGCTCACCAATATAAAGTTGTTCCAGATCCTGAGTTCTCATTCACTTACAGTTGCTTAGCCAAGAATCTAAAGGTCCCCAGACAGAAGATAATAAATAATTTTAATAATTCTAGTTAGCTACAAATTCTAGTTAAAAAAAAAGTGCATTTTAATTGATGGAAAACTGGAGACTATGTAGAAGCTCAGTCCCACAAATACACAGTAATCACTATCCATGATCAACCATTATTTACTCCTATATGAAACCAATCTTTTCAGATTTCCTGGTTTTATACAGATACATACAGATTGTGCATCCAAATCAGGTGAAACTTCTGCTGTGACGATTAGATCTCTGTGTTTTTCAGATTTGGGCAAAATATCTGAAAGAAAAAGTAAACCAGCTGTCCTTTAACAAACATGCAACTACATCTCTGAAAAGAATACAATTTCAACAGTATCAAGTTTCAGATTTACATCATTATCCTACTAGTGTAAAGAAAAAAATGCATATGCTTTTTGACCAAAGAACCTTTCCAATTTTATAAGATTTCTACAGACAACCTAAACCTGGATCTCATTCTGGATTTCTGATTCATATATGAAGAAGGATTTAGATTCATTCTGTAACAAGATTTCACACCTACTATCCACAAACCCCAGAGACTGTAAGGAATTTTTTAACTTTTGTCCTCACGTGCATATACAAATACATCTATATAAACATCTCCAAATTACACACCACACATGTCATGGCACTTTCATCTAAATAATTTGATGATGAATAGGTTAGATACAGAAAGATTCTATGCCTAATAGTGTAAAATTAAAATAGATTTTAGAAATTCCTCTGCGTAAGAAGGTATATGAAAGTTTTATGTATAGAACATTACATGGGTTACAATGTATTACCTGATGATTTCCAGGACTGTCAACATACAACGCAAAGAATGTTATGAACTCATTTATATCCACGATATAAAACCTTATGCAGATTCACATATGTAAAAAAAGTTGTAAGGATTACAAGCTAGGCACTTAAATAACATGAGGAATTACATAATCTCCTCTTAAGGGTTCAGAAGTCCCACTCTAAAGTATTCGCGTTTTTCTGAAAAGCACCTTTATTTCTTAAAACTAAATGTATTGGGAAAAGAAAAACCCAAACAGGAAATGTATAGTTCCTAAAGTAACAAACAGTAAAGGAGAAATTGATGTAAAGGGGAAATTAACATATTAATCGAATAATTGAGAGCATGAGAACATTGAGAAAGCTGTAAGAATTTTATTAGACATAGGGTCCTGAAATTGACCCAGAACTAGTAGGCAGCACATTATCTCTTTCTAACAAGAGGGTCAAGGGAAAAGATTTTGATGAAGACAGAAGTAAGTTTTCATTTTCTTGTGCCCAGAGAAAAATGCCTCCCTTTACTACAAGGGAAAAAAAGCAAAACCAAAACATGTTCCTCCAATACCACCTACCAAAGCAGCCTAAGCCTGTTTCATACTGGCACAGCTGCACACAACTAGTTCTGCCAATTACACATAGCTCAGCACAATCCATGCCACTTGTGCACACAAGAAAATGTCTTCCTTTTCTATCCCTTCTTAACCATGTCTTTTCAGGTTGCTTCTTCAAGCAAGCTATGATGCAACTTCTGTCATACAGTCATTTTTCTATTAGAAATAGGACAGAGATCACAAGCAAAGTTTACATGTAAGTATCAGCTTTTTGTTACTATTAAACTGAGCCAAAACACCTATGTTTAACCACTTATGTCATCCTGACTGATGCAAGTAACATTAGATTTAAGTTAGTATAACAGTTAAGATATTTTAAAATATTTCATCATTTTATAACGTAAATCCTTATTCTTCAAAACATATAAAACAGCTTTAGTTCAACAGTTTAATGGTCAGCACTGGACAGAAATACAAGACATTTATGGAAATAACTACTCGAAGTTTTTTTTAACATGATGACCTAATTCTAAATACCTTCCATGTTTGGAAGTCAAAATGAAACAAAGAAACTATTTCCATATAAGGGTAGATATTTTCAAAACAACAAAAGCTCTTATTGCACAAACGTGAATCCAAAAAGACAGAGAAGTCAATGCCTCATTTTAAAGATCATGTTTAGGAGTAACTTAATGGTGACCGATGTTCAGGAGTGTTTTGTATTCAACCAGACATGATTAAGATTTATTTTAAGACTTAGCTAAAACTCTAAGAAAAAAGCCAAAATGAAACAAAGCCAAAACACCCAAAACTGAAAGGCATTCTTCATAGGTACAATGTTTTGTTATAAAAAAGGTTTTCTCACAAGTTTTACATCCAGTTAAAGCCAAACACAACATCATTAGAGCATCTCTCCACAACAAAAAGAGCATTCACAAAAACTCATCTGAAAACACAACTATAACACCTTAGATTAGATTAGAAAGATTGAGGGGGGAAAAAAATTAAGAGAGAATGGAGAAAAGACCAACAATATTCACAGTAAACTTGTCAATCATACCATGACAGTTATTAGAAAAGTTATAAAGGACAGCTATGTTTCCTTTGTCTCTCCCTAGATCTTCTGCACAATATGTTAAAACTAACAAACAGAAGCTGATTCACTTCAAATTGATTTACTCCTTCCATCATGCTTTTTCTTCCTTTGGTTATGATAGCCATACAAAATTGTCAAACACTTACAAAGAAAGGTTGTGGTAAATATCAATGGAATTTACCCACATCTATATGCTTAAATAACCAATTACTGAATTTGTAAAATTAAAAAACTGGTATTAGTCTATCCCAATAACAGACAAACTTATACGCAATTACAAAAAAAAAGAAATCTGAGTTGTAGAATCAAGCTCACGACTGCAGATAAACCATTTCTTATTTTCTAAGGATTTCAACTGTGAGCTTTTTCCGCTCTTTTTTTACACAGAAAGCCGTGACTATTTCTTTAATGCATCTTAAGAACATGCTAACTATCACCAGGAAGAGATTTTAATTGGTTCTTTCTATTTGTCTAAGCTTTTTTCATAGTTTCCTGTAAAATCACATGCTTCCAATTCCCTGTGCAAGTCAGATACACTGTTTAAAAACTCAGTTATGAAAAACAGAGACTTTGAAGGATCTCTGTAGAAATCATGTGCCCTTACTTGAAAAAAATCAATGCAAGTCATTAGCAATGTATGTAAATTCCAGAATTTATCATGATGAGTTATTTGGGTTTTGATCTCTCTCACTATGTTCTTCAAATACAATCACTTTTGAAAGAAGTTAAAGCAATAGAAAAGTTCCTTTAACAAAAGTCATTCTTTGTTAGCTGCATGACTTAAGACGACATTTGTAATAATCAAATAGAAATTGGCAATACTTTTGCACTCTCTGAAGCCTAAATATATCAGAATGTTGCTGTGAAATTCCTTAAGTTTTCTTGCTTTTGTGTATGTAGTACATGCACTGTCAGGTTTTTCTCTGAACCCTTGCATAACCTGACACAAAATATCTTGAAAGTTCCACAGGCATTATGAAAATACAAAGGAAAACAACTCTGTATCCAAGGGCCTTACAGTCTAGGATTTTGTTCTTTATTAAATGTTACATTTCCTACAGAAATGTAATTATGGTTAAACTATGAAAATAAAGCAAAATATTGTAAAATGCTAAAAGGAAAGTCAAGTGGTTAAAAGTATATATTATAGAAAACGGAGTATACCTTCTGTTTTTGTGGCCTCCTTGATGATTTTCTGAAGCTCTTTCATTTCGGTATCAAATTCTTCATAGTTTATTTCCCTAGAATCAACCGTAGGAGCCTGGAAGAGCGAAGGATCAGTTCCAAGGTAGGAACACTGAAGATGCCCATCATCACTCAGAGTGACTATAACACCCTTCAGGTCTCTGCATTAAAAAAAATAAAGCTCATTAAGAAACTGGGAAGGGTCACAGAAGCAGTAACTTTGAGTTTCGTTGCTTTTACTGTTCCATCTACAAATACAATAAACTTCCTGTTTTTAATGAGATTCTTTGACCAAAACCACAATATTTATTCTTCAATTCAGATGTGTTTATTAATATTACTCCCACTTATTGCAATGACACCTAAGAACCAATCTGTGCCAGATAGATGACTACAACGTTACCCAGGTGTCTCAGAATCTGTATGATCAAGACAGGTAAAGGAAAGGATCGGAACAAACAAGCTGAGTAGACAGTACACTTGTAACCTTTTTTATTCACAAACTGTTACTTATGTTTTTTTGAAGTATGGATATTTAGGTTGGTACGCAGAAAGAGGAATTAGCTAAACTGGAACACCAAGAAAGGGACTGGAGAGGATGCGCTAGAAGAAATCACTAACAAATTGAACATGTTCACAGTGAAAACAGCAGTAGGACTTTGATGGCATCAGTAGCTCCCCTAACCCATTCTTTGGCTGCTACTGCAGCTACTGTGCTGGCTTCAAACCCCGGCTGGCTCTTCCCTGCACTATCTTTCTCAAAGGAAGCCACATGGATCCAGAACATTCCCCTTACACTGCTCTGGATCAATACAAATGAGTGTTTTATTAGCTGCACTATAGTCTCTTTTCTCACAAGGAAGCAGTACTTCGTTGAACTTATTCCTACAGAAATCTCACTCATTTTGTTTATCTGATCATGTACCATGCAAATGCAAGATTTAGGAAAGTATTTAACAAATTATGAGACAACAGGAAGTACTGCCAACATTTTGCTTAACTTGCAGGTTATTCCTTAGTGCATTAGGCTTTCTTATCAAAATTAAGTTTTGTGACTATCCCACTCATTAAACCCCTGTAAAACATTTAATTTGTATAAATGTTCAAGGCATAATTCATATTCAATAAAAGAATAAATTCTTTTAACTTAGATGCACTGATACCTTTCAAGTGCCTTCTCTAATACAATCCTCATTAAAAAACACCTAGCTATACAAAAAAATAGAATTCTCTCTGGTTTCCTATGTTGTCTTGTAGCATGGCTCCAGTACAGAGATAGGAAATCTCATTCCAAAATTTTCCAGGGTAATAGTAATTATGAAGGCAAATTATGAAGGTATCACAGATTAATTTTGATAATTGCTGGTCCAATTGGACAGTCCAAAATGCCTTTTTACAGATTGCTAAGGCCACAATCCCAGTGTTGGTTTCACAACTGCAGCCAAATATTCTGGAAAAACTATGCTGTAACTGAGATCATCTGAACTCTGTACAGTTATATTACAACTGCATACAGAAATGAAGATGTCACTGGGCAAAGTACGAATAAGTTGTTGCTGCAGATAATTTAGAAATTAATTTTTACTCAGTGAATGAAATAAATCTCCTGGTTGAACTATGAATGTATGGAAACTGGTTGGGGTTTTTTTTGGACAACACATATCTCCAGTTAGTCCTTTGCTGCAGGTGGAACACACAAATCTGAACTGCCTTCTGGAATTGAACACACACAATAGGGCTCAAACCACACTGTTCCCCTTATTTATTATATAAGCTCATCTGAAACAGTTTTCTCTTTTGGGACTACTGTTCCTATTGCCACAGAAAAGTTTCCAGCTACTACTTCAATTTTTAACATATATTAACATTCACTACAAAAACTAAGCAAACTATAATAGGAGTCTGTCTCTGTGAGCACCGTAAGGCTGGAGATGCCAAGTCTCACCCAAGAAATACTTCAAGAAAATAAAGTAGAAGACCTAATACTGATTTTCACCTTACATATCTTGTACCTGTGTTAGCAGCCATCCTGTGAATGTGATGGCCTCTTTGTGACCTGTAAGCTTGGGGTTTGCATCCATTATTTCTGACAAATAGTGAACTCTCAATCCAAAGTGAGAGGAAGGGGAATTAAGCATGAGTCCTGTTTTCTCTGGCTGCATGAATATTTGTTGCCAACTACAGTTGGTTTTCTTGCTCAGGACTGGGTCTATCAAACTGCTCATCCTAGTTTTCTTTTGTCCAAAAAGCTCTGTGTTACATTTACAAAATTCTGGGTGGCACATGGAACAAATCGATTGGACTAACCCTGAGATCAGTATACGAACAACGCAAGGAAACAGACTATTGTGAATACTTGAACCATTACACAGTCTTGGTAAGGTATGCAAATAACACCCAATGTATAGGACCTCGCTTAATGCCTGCCAAGTGTTTGCAAAGAAATTCGCCACGCTGGCCATGGGCACAAAGTCTTTAAAAAAGGGATATTGTTGAAGCAGATGCTACCATACCACCAAATACACTGCTCCACACTTGGCTATTTAGTTACATCAAATAAAGAAGTTGCTAAAAATAAAAATAGGACAACATGAGAAGCTGCATCATGAGCTTGTTCCACAAGTGGAGAAAGAAAACTGATACCTGAAAAAAAGACAATTTCTAAAATTCTCCAGCAATGGCTTTGGACCATCTTAAAATTTCTTTCCTGAGGCTATGAATCTGTTAAGGAAAGATCCTTGAGGACATCTGAATGTAAATCAAAAGGGCATGATGAAATACAGTTACACTTATCAATAAATTTTTCATTATATACTAGTAAAGTATAATACATTCAGAAGTGGTTTGTAAATACAGTCCTTCCTATGTACCTCTAAGTTGGCAGTCATCTGCAGGCAATCAGTCTATCAAATAAAATCAGCTCAAGACAATGAGGTGGTTTTCGTATACAAATTACACTTTTCTTCACTTTCGAGTTTGTCAGCATTACAGAATGCACGCTCAAAAACTCCATCTTAAAACAAACTTATTTCAACCAACTTTTGTGTTAGTCATGACATCCTTTAAGTCTGCACCAGCTCAGAGAAAAAAGCATTGGTTTAAGAAAGCAGCATTACAAATGTCACTTTTCCTTTGCTTCAGTTACTGCTCTGCTGGGTCCTGAGAAGATTGTTCAACATGAAACACACAGAAATACAAAAAAGCCTTTTTCAGTAATGTTTCCTTGTTAAAGCTTTCCATTAATTTGTACATCAATAGAAACAATACGGAAAAGATGGGTAACCAGTTATAGCAGATGATTTAGAATACATTAATTCCTCTGTCGGAATGTTTGTCAGACAGTCAAGATTATTTTCTCAAGCTTTTATAATAGTGGTTAAAGACAACAGGGGGAGGTGGAGCATATTTAACAGTTTTATAGTAGTTTCCTCACAGCTACTGCACCCATACAATATCCTTGCAAATACCATTACTTCATCTGGCACATTTTGCACACAATCTGGAAGTTCAATTACTTGTTAAATTTCTTTTATTGTAAACTTTTTTTTTTTTTTTTTACTATATAACACACAATAGTCAAAGTAATAGCAAAATCTAAGGGGACAGTACTTTAACAGTAAGGAACTCAAAGTATGAAACAAATTATTATGGTATCTAAAATAACTTTACAGTACAAAGCAACTCCTACACACATATGGTAATAATTTGAAAAACTTTTATTGGATTCTGGGTAATAACAACAGCATATGCTTTTTGTAGGTCCTCTCTAACTAAACAAATTGCTCACAACATAATTCTTAAAGAAATTAAAATGTTTTGCATGTTTCCAGTTATATAATACCAAACTGATCACTCAAACAATTGAGTTAGAAGTTGAATCTGTAATTCTGAGTTCTTCTTGAATGACACAAGCTAAGCCTTGGACAACTCTTAGGACAACGTCTGGTTTTTGACATAATTTACAGCTTTAATTATTTATAATTATAATAGCATATAAAACTCCTACCACAATTTCAGAAGTAGTCTTAATTGATGTTACTCATACCAACCATTTTAGAAAACAAGATGCTTTGCAATACTACTTACATATTATTTATAAACTACTAAATTAGGAAACTAATTGTTTGAATTCAAGCATTTTGAACACAATTCTCTCCTCATTTTATCATCCTCTGAAGTAATTATATGCAAAACTATAAATGCAATAGCAATTTTTAGTTAAGTGCTTTTGAACAGCCAAATTGTTCTAAGTTTCACTATCATTTCAATATCATTTTAGCTGTAACTGGGTGATGTATTTGATAAAATGCTGAAGAAAGATCAGACTAGGAGTAATAAACTATAAGAATTTTCTAATATGAACTAATGGGAGTAAAAGTTGAAAACCCATCTTACTCTTATTAAACACACATTCCAAAATCAGACCTTCAGCTGAAAATTTAAAGTATATCTGGTGCTAGCTACCACTGATTTGTAACTGGTTTTGGATATCCATGAAGCATCCTCAGGCTCCTTTGAAAACCCCACCATCATTAAAAAAAAAAAAATAAATCTTTGTTCAGCTTGACATCAAAAGTAATACTTGTATGTATAAGATTTACCCATTCTGCTGTTAGACATGAAAACAGATAATCCGTTTGCTCTCAGAAACTAAAATTTGTTTAACGCTATTTATGTATTTAATGTGCTTTGCACAGTTTGCAGAGGGCATGCAAACATATGATGTAAATAGAGTGTTCAATTATAATTGTTTAACAATATGCGACTATACTGAATATTATTAAGTGGTAAATAATTTCTGCTATTGCTTTGCAGAAAACCATTCTTCATCTTTCCCCACTTGTGTGACAGTTTAGGGTTGCTAATCTTAGAACACCAGCCACAGACCTAGTTAAAAAAATTACAAAATACATGTAAGAGGAAAAGGGAAATGAAACACGATTCCATCTTGATAACTGGTGGAAAAGCAGTTAACAAAAGAGAAGTTATGACTAGAACAACAGGTCAACACCCTTCCCTTCTTATAAGCACTGAAATCTACTAAGAGCCATAACTGAATAAAACCTAAATTTGGCCCGAGTGTTACCATTTTGAATGCCTGAAGGATTCTCCAGCTTCCAGGTCTCATACAGTACTTTCACTCTCTACTTAGGGGGAGAGA